ATACGGAAACCACACTCATATATATATATATATATATATAGGGGGTGCGGTTTGTATAGAGTCGAGGCTCTAAACAATCAAAGTAAAGCGCACCCTCAAATAGTGTCGAGAAATGTAGTTTCAAGACTGAAAATCTTTGTGATAGCCTGAAAATATATTTTTATTTTTAAATATAAAATTTAAAACTTAAAAAATAGTGTAGATCAAGCAGATCTATGAAAATCTAGAAAATTGACAGTCCAAAAATACGTTACAAGATGCACTATTTTCGAAAACTTGAAATCCATTTTTGTCTTATGTCCATGCATCTTGATGCCCAGATGATCAATTTGAGGATATTTGGGCATCAAAACAACCTCTTCTAGTGAAAGTTTTGAGGTAGGCTCTAAGTTGATTGATTAGAACCTTGGTTCTCTCTCTTTCTCTCTCTCTCTCTCTATATATATATATATATAGCTCAACCAGAAAAACAGTGATTAAAAATCCAAGCTCATGTGAGCGTGAGTGTGCATGAGAGAGAGAGATCGCATTAGCTAAGAGGTAGAAAAGGTCATCACCTGAAAATACATGTTGAATGCATATGAGACATTCCCCTTGAGGTCCAAATAACCACATGACCGTTCGAACCCAAGCGAAGTGCAATCAGATAAGGAGCACGCATAGTCCACATTGTTAGCGACCTTGGCCACGTCGACATGCCCCGGTTTCATCACACACCATTGTCGAGGCATATACTCCACATTCTTAGCCCCAACAAGCTGCTTCTCTCTACCCTCACCCGATAGATCCATCTCAAATTTGGGCTTACCATCAAACCTAAATATCCCCCAGTGCCTCTCAAAATCACCTGAAAAAAACAGGAAAAAAAAAATCATTTTGAGCACAGTTTTCCTTTTCTTTTTCGTTAGAATTATTATGAGAATGACTTGATGAATACTGCATTTTTTTAAGTTTTTTCTATTATCAAAGAACCATAAGATGCTTATTTTAACTCTGCACCTATCTGAGTTCTGAGTATTAAACAAGCATCCTTTCACATTTATGTCAGAACTGGTGGGGATCTTCCAATTGCACACCTCTGCCAGAAAACCTTCAGTTCTTTTTCTGAAAAATCATCACAAGGTATTGGTATTTGAAACGTTGATATCTTTTGTTTTAATTATCGAAAGAAATACTAGAGATATATAGGTGTTTGCACCTCAACATCTAATGCGTCTTAGAACAAATATAGTAAAATATCAATGTTTTACAAATCGATATATAAAAGAGAAATGTGGGAGACAGAGACCTTTTTTTGAGGGCCGAAATTGAAAGTGCCCCTTCTACCAATTATGAGGCATAAAACCAAAATGGCTGTGGTGTTAAATCAATGTCTAGATACTGTGATATAAAGCCCTTTCTTTAATCAATGGTCGATTTATCAAACAAAAAGAAATAATCACCTGGCAAAATACTCTTAGCATCCTCGTCGAGAAGGCTAAAAAGGTAAGTTTCAATGTGCCCTGGCTTAAGTGGGGTGCCTTTATTGTTTGCCAAATTCTTTATCAACCCATTGTAAAATCGTTTAGCAAGCATAACATTCCCGTTTTTATCACCATCTGTTGGCCACCCCACCTCACCAACCGCTATGTTCATGTTGGGGACCCCTGCCTTCCTTAGAGACCACACAAGAGTGTCAAAATTAGCATCGAAAACATTGAGATAAGAGAGACCCTTATCATTTAAGGGCTTGCTTCCTCCATCAAAGAAGGCAAAGTCAACTGGAAAATTTTTGTTCTGGTAGAGGCTAAGGAAGGGGTATATGTTGACCATGAAAGGGGAATTGTGCTCATTAAGGAAATGGACAATTTCTTTCATTAGGGATCGGATATCAGCACGAAAGTCACCGCTTGAAGGCATAGGATCATCAGAAGGGGAATTGTAGACATCGGCATTTAGGGGAATGGTGGCCTTGATCTTGTCACCAATGCCCGCCTCATTTAGGGCTTTTTGAATGTTTTGGAGAGCAGGGAAAGTACTCTTCATGAAGCTCCCATTATAGCTTGTAAGGAAGGGCTCGTTCCCAACAGCAACATATCTGTGGAAGATTGTTGGAGAAAATTGAGAAGAAAGTCTAAAAAAGTGGTAAATTGGTGTATTGTTTATTTAAAACATGGTTACAAGACTTGACTCACCTTTTTGGATTTGATTTGGGCAGTTTTCCTGATTATTTTTTATAGAGATTCACTTGTGTCTTACCTAGTTAACTTAGCTTGAGTTTTCAAACTTTGGGCATATAAATCTTTGCATGTGAGAATCAGCATATGGGTCCAATACTCCAATTGTAATGTTGTGAATCCCAAATTGGATGGTATAGAATTAGTGTTGCAAAAAATATAGTTGAATTAGCCATTTGTAACTATACAAAGAATTTGAAAGAAAAACACACCGAGTAATGCACGATCACAAACATACAAGTTATTGGCCCTTACTTAATAAGCAAACATTTCATGTTTCCAGTAAATAAATATAGGAGACACACACAAGAACATACAACAAGAAGCAACAGATTCCCATGTCCCCATGGATGCTATTAAATGACCATAACTTCATACACACAAACATAACACAGCACATAAAATACCCTCCTGATCTATCTTTTTAGTACATTTGTAGTATGAGCTTAGAAGTAAATTTATTATTATCTTTTGTTGATAAATCTTTATGTGCTAATAATTGCAGCCACCAACAATAAAAAGTTCTGTTCGCACCGGCATACTTTTTTCTTCCATTTCAGAGGTTGTTATTAATTTGGCTAATAATCAGCATAGTTTTAAACTTGCAAAGACTTTTAAAACATGGGATTTTTGCAGGTCCGATTGACTAGTTTTCACTCTTTCTTTTTGTCCTAGCGACCAAATCAGCCATCTACAGTATGAAGAACACCGCTGAAATTATGTATTCCAACTATGAGGCCCTAATCAATAAATACAAAACATAAATCTAAACATACTGGAAAACATTATAATTAGTATACCACAAATTAGAAATACAAGGGAATGCTTTGACGTAAAGATTCATTGAAATCACCATTGTTCATACGTAAACTCACAGTTATAAACATGTACATTGAAATTATCACTAAACTGCATCTAAAAGAATTTAACAACAGTAGCACTTCACAATGAAATTTATCATCAATGCAGTGCCATTTAACACTAAATAATTTACTTGAACTGCTCGGAATTTGAATACCCAAATATAAAAAGCTTCATAAATGTTCCCATCATAGAAAAACCAAATCTTCAAACAACCAAATTCTTCGCAATGAATTTCATAGACCAAAATGGAGACAAAACCATTAAATCCCCAGTAAAAAAAGAAACACCAATAATTGCTAAGAAATCTAATTTTCAAACCACATTTCACCGCCTCCATATAAAAATTAACAGTTTACACCCAATCACCCCTAAAATCACCAAAAATCTTTTAAAAAAAAATCAGAAATTCTTACTTGATATTGACACCCCCTTCATAATTATATCTTGTAACATTCTTCTTGACCCATTCCTTGGCGTGCTCATACTTCCCTGCCATTCTCCCCAACATATCATTTGGAATAGCCACTGTAACTTCGATCCCACTACCTACAAGAGAGCTCAAAGTCCATGCATCAGCATCAAAGAGCTTCACCTTCTTTATCCCATTATCCTTCAACATCTGAACCACTATGTCTGGTTTCAATGGATGAGTGGCCATATTCCCCCAATTCACCCCCAAACCCTCTGCAAAACCCCAAGAAATCACCATAATGGAGATCACGGCCAGGAACCCTAGCCGATCCATGGCTTCTAGCGCAGAGAAGGGGAGTTGCAGATGCAACAGTGGCTGCGGTTTCAGGGAGCTCAATAACAATGGCGGTTAAGGTATACATGGTTGTGTAAATCTAGGGTTTGAGAGGGAGTAACAGATAGAAACCCTGGATTGAACGAGGAGGAAAACTAGGGTTAGAAGGTATTGTGAGGAAGAGCAGGGACCTCGGCCTTTGAAGCGTTCAAAGGAGACGAGACCGGTGGCGGGGATTTTTGAGGTGCACCTTTAATTCAACATTTTTCAACCTTATATAAACAAAAAACGGATCGGTGACCCGGATCTGGCTTTCAAAAAACCGATCCGGATCGGCGAATCGGCTATCTTGATCGGGAATCGAGTGAATCGGTCATAATAAAGCTTAAAAAAAATCCGAAAAAATTATTAAAATTCATTATAAATATTTTTTTTTAGGAATTCAATAAGAAATGAGGGTACTCCATTAAGAATTTTCATGTTTTTGAATGAATATACGAATATTGATATGTTCTTTCCCTGCATGAACCGCTATTCAGCATTTAATTTACATCACACAAAAGGATAAACATATAATTATCATGGAATAAGTATATCAACATACATGGACTATAATAAAGCATAAAATTAGTAACATATGATCTAAAAATAAAATGATAGACGACGTTATTGTTCTTCTTGGTCACGCTGGCGCCATTGATTGAATTCGTTTAACAATTCATTGATTCAATCTAAAAACGAATCATCGATATTAGTAGGCGTCTGACTATTCTCAAATCCTTGAGTGTTAGTGTTTTGTTGTGTTCCAAATCTAAAATCCCCAAAGATTGTCCATCCTTCATGCTCACCTGCATTGTCGTGCTCATCCCTACACTGTTGCTGTTGGGACTCGATATGTGAATAATATGGCTAGGATAGGGTGGCCTCAGAATCATCATCTCTCTCATTTTCTCTTTGAATAATATGGATTAAAAAAAA